ACTGGTGGGGCAGGTTTGTCACTGTGTAACACTGGGATACAGTACTGCTGGGGACAGGTCTGACACTGTATAACAATGGGATACAATACTGGGGGGAAAAGGTCTGTCACTGTATAACACTGGGGTTCAGCAGTGGTGGGCACAGGTCTGTCATTGTATAACACAGGGGTACAGTACAGGTGCGTCAGGTCTGTCAGTGCATAAAACCAGGGTACAGGACTGGTGGGGACAGTACTGTCACTGTATAACATGGAGGTACTGTTGTGGTTGGGACAGCTCTGTCACTGTATTCCAATGGGGTACAGTACTAGTGGGGACTTGTCTGTCACTGTATATCACTGGAATACACTACTGGTGGGGACAGGTCTGTCACTGCATAACACTGGGTACAGTACAGCTGGGGACAGGTCTGTCATTTTATAACACCAAAGTACTGTACTGGAGGAGATAGGACTTTGTATAACACTGGGTACAGTACTGGTCGGTACAGGTCTGTCACTGTACAACACACGGTTACAGTACTGGTGGATCAGGTCTGTCAGTGTATAACACTGGGATATAGGACTGTTGGGGACAGGTCTGTCACTGTATAACACTAGGATACAGTACTGATGCAGAATGGTCTGACAATCTATTACACTGGGGTACACTGCTCGTGGGGACAGGTCTGTCGCTGTATAACACTGGGTGCAGTAGAGCTGAGGACAGGTCTGTCATTTTATAACACTGAAGTACTGTACTGGTGGAGGTAGGTCTCTGTATAACACTGGGTACAGTACTGGTGGGGACAGGTCTATCACTGTCTGACACAGGTACAGTACTGGTGGAGAAACTCTGTATAACACTGTGGTTCAGTAATTGTGGGAACAGTTCTCTGTGTAACACTGGGGTACAGCACTGATGGCAACAGGTCCGTCACTGTATAACACTGCGGTACAGTATTAGTGTGGACAGGTCTGTCGCTGTATAACACTGTGGTACAGTATTAATGGGGACAGGTCTGTCACCGTATAACACTGGGTTACAGTACTAGTGGAGAAAAGTCTCTGTTTAACACTGTAGCTCAGTAAATGTGGGAACAGTTCTCTGTGTAATACTGGGGTACAGCACTGGTGGCAACAGGTTCATCACTGTATAACACTGCGGTAAAGTATTAGTGGGGACAGGTCTGTCACTGTATAACACTAGGTTACAGCACTGGTGGGGAGAGGTCTGTCACTGTATAACAGTGGGTTACAGTACTGGTGGGGAGAGGTCTGTCACTGTATAACAGTGGGTTACAGTACTGGTGGGGACAGGTCTGTCACTGTATAACACTGGGGTACAGTACTGGTGGGGACAGGTCTGTCACTGCATAACTCTGGGTACAGTTCTAGTGGGGATAGTTCTGTCACTGTATAACACTGGGATACGGTACTAGTGGGGACAGGTCTGTCACTGTACAACACTAGGGTACAGTACTAGTGGGGACAGGTCTGTCACTGTATAACACTGGGGTACAGTACTGGTGTGGTCTCATCTGTCTCAATTAATGCTGCAGTACAGTAGTGGTGGAGAGATTTCTTTGTATGTCACTGGGGTAATGTTGGCTTCTTGAAAGCTAACTGTGAGATATGTCTGCCACCATGCCCTTGACGTTGTCACCATGCCGCACTCTCTCTTTCCTCCTGCAGTTGTCATGAGGAAGTATGGCTGTGCTGTCGTTCTCTGACAAGTTGCACGTCACAGTCTACGTCGTGGCCATTCTGACCGGGCTGCCGTTTAACCTGCTCGCTCTGTATGCCTTCCTGGGCAGGGCCAGGCGCAAAGCTGGTCCTAATGTCATCTTCCTCATCAACCTGACCATCTCCGACCTGGCCTTTCTGCTTTTCCTGCCTTTCAAGATCCTGGAGTCAGTCAAGGGCAGTATGTGGGTTCTGCCCACCTTCCTGTGCCCTCTGAGCGGCCTGTTCTATTTCAGTGCCATCTACAGCAGCATCCTGTTTCTGACTGCGGTGAGCGTGGAGCGGTACTTGGGAGTTGCGTTCCCCATCCAGTACAACCTGTACCGTAAGCCTGTTTATGCACTGTTCATCAGCTTCCTGCTCTGGGTTTGTGCATTTTCCCATTGCAGCATCGTATACATCACCGAATATAGGAAGGCCACCAACTCCAGCTGGAATGAGACCGTCTGCTACGACAGCTTCACCCCCAACCAGCTGGCAGTCCTTCTGCCGTTTCGCCTGGAACTGGGCATAGTATTATTCTGCCTGCCCTGCCTGATCACCACTTTCTGTTACAGCAGCTTTATCCGGATCCTGCTCTCGTCCCCGCACATCAGCCACGGGAAGAAGCAGCGGGCAGTCGGCTTGGTGCTGGCCACCTTGCTCGTCTTCCTGATCTGCTTCGCCCCCTACAACATCTCCCACTTTGTGGGCTTCATACAGCAGAGTAGCCCCCCATGGCGGACCGACGCCCTGCTGCTCAGCACCTTCAACACCAGCTTGGACCCCATCATCTTCTACTTCTCCTCCAGCGCCGTCAAGCAGACCTGCAGGGGTTGCCTGGGCAGCCTCTCCCGTGAGCTCAGCTCCTTCAGGCCCCTTCAGATCCTGCTCAGCTTCCTCCGCAAACGCAACAACGCCCTGAGGGCAGATTCTTTCAACCAGAGCCAGTGCTCCAAACTGTAGGCCCCTGGGGAAACAAAACACTCACTCCCCATTGCCTCTCCATTGTGTCTAAGCTCTAGAATCAACTCTTTAAACCTCTCCATCCCCACCTTCTCTCTTTCTATCCCTTTCTTTCTCTCCCTCTCTTTCTCTCTGTCTCTCTCCTTCTCTTTCTCCCTCTGTCACTCTTTCTCCCTTTGTCTGTCTCTTTCCCTCTCTCACCTCTCCATCTCTTTCTCTATCTCTCTCTGTCTCCTATTCTCTCTCTCACTCCCCTCACTTTCTCTTGCTCTCTCTCTCCCTCCCCCCTCACTCCACCCACGCTCTCCCTGAATCTTTCTCTCTCTCCTTTACTCCACCTCTCTTTCTCTTTCTTATTCTCTCCTTCCCCCTTTCTCTCTCTTCTGTTCTCTTTCTTCCTCTTTCACTCTCCCTTTTTCTTTCCCTTTCTCATTTTCTTTCCCTGTCTCTCTTTCTGTCTTTTCCTCTAGGATGTCCCTCTTTGACAAGTGCTTGAGTGATTAGAGTTTAGAAGAATGAGAGACAACCTTATTGAAAACACAGGATTCTGAGGGGACTTGACAGGGGAGATATGGGAGGATGTTTCTCCTTGCAGGTAACTCCAGAACCAAATGGGCATCATCTCGGAATAAAGCTTCACCCATTTCAGACAGAGATGAGGAGGAATTTCTTCTCTCAGCGTGGAGAGAATCTGTGGAATTCTTCACTAAAAAGAGCTGTCAAGATTGGCTTGTTGAGAATATTCAAGGCTGAGAAGGATTTTTAATCAGTAAGGGGGAATGAGGAAAAGACAGGAAAGTGGAGTTGAAGATGATCAGATCAGCCACGATGTCATAGAATGGCTGAGCAGACTCCATGGGCTGAATGGCCAACTTCTGCTCCTATGTCTTATGGCGTGTTTTGCTTCCTGCCTTCTGGGGACAGTGAGAGAGAGAGAGAGAAAAACAGATGAGATTTCAGGTATTAGAGTTTTAATCAGAACTGGGAAAAGTTACAGGTGGAATGGGTTTTCAAAAGAGGGGTTCCAGTGGTGTGGGTGAGGGGGAGGAGGCAAGTGAGAAGTGGGCTGCAGATTGAGCTTTTCCTGTTACTGTGTAACATCAAGGAGGGGGCTGAATGGGCCTCTTCTGTTCCTGTGTAACAGGCTGGAGAAGGGGGCTGAATGGCCTCCTCCTGTTCTTACATTCCTTCCTATGTTGCTAGGTAGAAGCCAAAGCAGAGAGCAGTAAAGGGATTTAAAATGAACAAACAGTGCTGTGGAGAGGTTGGAAAACATAAATGGGCAGAGAAAGAGAGAGAGAGAGTTGTGGGCATGGAGGGGGATGCATATATACCAATCAGTGAAGGTGACCGGGAAATAAAACTTTTCTGAGCCTGAACCCTGGGTGATACAGAATTGAAGATAAAACAAAGATATCTCACACAAACTTTGTAAATTTACAGACTCTTAGGGCACAAAGCCTCAGGAAAGGCCTGGGAGGGGGCTGAGTGGGGGAATACAGAAAAGACCTGGGAGGGGGCTGAGTGGGGGAATACAGAAAAGGCCTGGGAGGGG